CCACAGTAATGGCTCAGGAGCTCCAGGAGCCGCCCCAGGACTGCTCGAGGCTTTAGGGAGGACAGCTATACACAACATAACATATACTTCAGGCCTTAGTATGAGCTGCTAAAAACATTGTGGTGGTCATCTAATATGGCCAATGCCCTTAAAACAAAGGTCTATGCTCCCAGGACCACCTCCTCCTTCTTCTTCAATTTAGCTCAGGGCATAATTTACTTTCACCCTTCCTGCTGCCTCAGGGAAGAGCCCCAATCAGTTTCTCAGGTATATCTAAACATCCCCTCCAAACTCTACTCCTGACAAAAGGCCTTAAAAGCCTCAGCCTCCCTTTGTCCAGTCCAGAGAATTCCTTGGCCTCCCCAAATTCTCTCCACGGCCTCAAAGAAAATAAAGCCCTTTCCTTTTTTCCTTCTGCCTGTTTCTCTGCTGTGCCAGAACCTCATAAAATTACTAAAACTCCTAAAATTAATAATATGTCCATAGAAATATTCTAATGAAAAAACACAGGCCTGACAGACTCTCTGCACCTTGATGACAAAATTAGTCTTATGCTTAGAAGAAGCAGGCTCATGTACTGAGGAGCAGAATGTTGGGATTTCAAAAATCCTACTTTAGGAGCCGGGGAGATGGCTCAGTAGAATAAGCGCTTGTCTGGCAAGTGCAAGGCCTTGAGTTCAATCCCCAGTACCGCAAAAAAAAAAAAAAAAAAAAAAAAAAAAAAAAAAAAAAAAAAAATCCTACTTTGGAGTAGGCCAATGAATAAATGAGAAATAGCTAAAAACAGAAAAAGTGGAGCACAGCGGCACACACCTGTATTCCCAGAACCCTGGGAGGCTGCGGCAGGTGGGTTGCAAGTTCAAGACCAGCCTGGGCAACCTAGCATTTTTGTGAGTCCTTGTCTCAAAATATAAAACTATAAAAGAACTAGGGATGTAGCTCAAAGTAAAGGACCCCCCCCCCCCCCCCAAAAAGTCAGCATTTAAGAAAGGAAACAAGAGCTACTGGGTGTGGTGATGTTTATCTATAATCCCAGCACTCAAGAGGCTGAGGCAGGACTGTTGAGAGTTGAAGACCAGCCTGGGCTACAAAGTGAGTTCAAGGCCAGTCTGAACTGCACAGTGAGGCCCTGTCTCAAATAAATAAATAAAGAAAGAAAGAAAGAAAGAAAGAAAGAAGGAAGAGGACAGGATTGAAGCGAGGGGAATTGGAGAAAAAAGAATCAAAGAATGTTATATAAAATTACAAATTGGGCCGGGGAGATGGCTCAGTGGAATAAGCGCTTCCCTGGCAAGCGCAAGGGCCTGAGTTCAATCCCCAGTTCTGCCAAAAAAATAAATAAATAAAATAAAATTACAAATTCCCTATGATCAATGTCAGATATACATCTCTAAAGCAAAAGAAAATTACCATATTGCTGAAAAAATTATGGAGTTACTCATGCATGGTGACACTCACCTGTAATCCCAGCACTTGGTAGACTGAGGCAGGAGAAACACGGTAAATTCAAGGCCAGCGTGGGCTACACAATGGAATTTAAGGCCAATCTAAACTACACAGAGAGGGGCCAGGGAGACAGCTCAGTAGAATAAGTGCTTGCAAAAAAAAAGAATAAGCGCTTGCCTGGCAAGTGCAAGGGCCTGAGTTTAATCTTTGGTTCTGCAAAACAAACAAAATTAAAAAAAAAACATTTGGGGCTGGGGAGATAGCTCAGTGGAATAAGCACTTCTCTGGCAAGTGCAAGGACCTGAGTTCAATCCCTGGTTCTGCCAAAAAAAAAAAAAAAAAAAGACAATGTAGCCAAGCAAGTTGGTGAACTCCTGTAATGTCAGCTCTCAGGAGGCTGAGGCAGGAGAATTCTAAATTGAGTCCAGGCTGAGGCTGAATAGATGCTTTTTGACCTTCTACCTATCTTCAGCCTGAGGGCACAAATAATTCCCATAATCAGAACTGTAGTTTCATGCTGAAATTCAGAGATAAATTCAGACAGGCCCTGGAGGCTCTGTGGCCCAGCCTCCCTCCCTCCTTATTCTCTTCCTGATTGAGTGATTTGCCTTCAGACATTTTGGGCTTTTCTTCTCAACTTGCCTGGCAGTGTGTGTGTGTGTGTGTGTGTGTGTGTGTGTGTGTGTGGTGTGTGTGTGTGTGTGTGTGTGTTATTGAAATTGACCCCAGGACCTTGCTCATGTCAGGCAAGTGCTATTTTTAAAATTTTGAGACAAGGTCTCAGTAAAGTGCCCCAGGCTGGCCTGGAAGTTGGAATCTTCCTGCCTTAGCCTCCTGAGCAGGTGGAATCAAAGGCATGTGTCACTACACACCGTTTTGTCTGAAAATGACCAGGAGGGACAGCAGTCTTCCCCGTAGGGCCCTCACAGGAGCTTTTCCCAGCTTCTGCACACCAGCTCTGCTCCAGTGCAGCAGGTGTCTAAGACTTCACTACCCTAAATGCCCGTCTCAAGCTTGTCACAGAGAGTGGCCAGCACAATAAACAGATGCCCAGTTTAGGGACTAATAGGCCTGGGGAAGTATTTTTTTAAATGTATTTAGTACAGGATCTACAGAGTCTCACTATACAGATCGGATTCACAGTGATCCTCCTGTTTTCAGCCTCCCAAGCACTGGGATTACAGGTGCGCACCACCACGCCCAGTCTGGAAGCACCTTATGTATGGACTGGCTGACACTTTTGATCAAGTGTAGGACCTCAGGCCAGTCCCACTGACAGCTTCAACATGTTTCTTCTGCAAAATATGGATAAACTAGGCATGGTGGCCCTTGCCTGTAATCCCAGCAGTCGGGAGGCTGAGGCAGGAAGATCACCACGAGTTCAAAGCCAGCCTGGGCTACGTAGTGAGTCTGAACTACACAGCAAGACCCTGGTCTCCAAAACACTGAAAAACACAGGTGAGTAATAAAACTGACTCCTAACCTCAACCCCTGATTTGGGTTCAGATCCAGATCCACTATTTACTATCTTGAGAGCTTCAAAAGTTTATCTAATCTCTGCCTTACAGGTCTGCGGGGTGAAAACGAGCTAATTGAGAAATTTTCTTAGTCCATGTGACCCTTGGCTATGTAAGGATAGTATTATATTGTTGTTATTATTAGAAGGCTGGCCCGAAACACCCTAGCGTTCTGCGCCTTAGGATTCAAATCCCACGATTTGATATTTAACCTCTCCGTGCCTCAGTTCCTTCGCCCGTGGGATAGCAACACCACACAAAGACTGTGGGGCAATTAAATACATGAGCACTTCGAAAGCACCTGGCACAGGGTAGCGCTGCTACTGCGGTTATTTAGACCAAAGTTCTGCTTCCAGGTGTGGAGGTGGGATAGAAGAGCAAGAACAAGGCGCAGCCGGCGGGCTCTCGGTAGAGATCCTGGCGTCCCGCTCGCTGCCAATCAGCGAGGTCCGGGAGGTGTAAGTGGAGGCCCCGCCCCGGCCCGGCCCCGCCCCGCCCTTCCTGGCCTGCCCTAGTCTCGCGCAGTTTCAAAGTGCGCGAGCTCGGCCGAGAGCCCGGCCTGGCGGTTGGTTGGGTGAAACTATCTGATACGCTAGGTAGGGGGAGTTAAAAGCCTACGCATCCTCATTTTTCTGATCTTTAACTTGTAAATCCCACGTTCTGGTCTTCATGTAGACTTTCTGTTCTCTCCATATGCTCAGACTCCCAGAAGGTAGCCTCACAGACTGAGGAGGCGGTCAGTGTTCCTCTGTGCAGCGGCCTCCCCCTCTGGACGCAGAACCAGTGGTAGAGGACGACGGCGGGCGGGGGTAGGAGGCGGCCCTAGCGCCATTTTGTGGGAACGAAGTAGCACCAGGGCTGTTCTTAGGTCTCTCAGTGCTTGTTTCCCTGTCGCGGTTTCTAACAGTAGCCTAGCGGGTGAGGCGCAGGCGCTTCTGATCAAGACGCCCCGGGTGCGTCGATTCTCGCATTGGGGACAGCCTAACGCAGACGCAGCGGCTTCGGCCTCCGCCCCGGTAAGGGAGCCTTGGAGTCCGGCCTGGCTCGAGCGGCGGTGTCGCTAGGGCTGCGGGCGGGGCGATGGCCGGCGCCGGAGCGAGGTTGCTGGGCCGGTGGAGGCCCGCGGCCCCGGCTGTTCTTGTGCCTCCGCGACTTCGCTCTCCTGGCGAAGCGCGCTCGCTCAGGCCTCGGCCCCATCCCAGGCCGCGCTGAAAACTCATTGCCAGTCGCGCACTGGCTTCTGGGAGGTGGCCGCGGTCCTCGCGTGCGTTGTCGCCGCTGTGCTAGGTAGCGGCCTAAGTTTGGGGAGCTCTCCAAAATGAGGAAGTGCTTCCTCTTCTCTTGCTCCCTGTTCCGCTTTCCAGTCTTTGTAGTGTGTGTTAGCAGATCGTACACGCTCATCTTGGGGAGTGGTTTCGTGTGCGTACCACAGCTTGTTCTTTTTTAACTCCCTTCCGTACCCCGGTCTTCCATTTCCCCTATGCCATGTTTCGTTTCTGTTGATACTGTTAACTTTAACTCATGGCATATAATGTTTACATTAATTTCAGTTTATTCCTTGCTTTTGCTGAGTTCTCAGTGGGCTTGAGAATCGCTTGCTTAAGGAAATCGGACCCACAAGCACATCCTTTAACCAGTTAGCTTCTCCCAGCCGCTCAAGATTATTTATCAAGATTATTTATCCAGGGATATAGCTCAGCAGCCCAGCGCCTGCCTGGTTACCACGAGGTTCTAACTCCTGGTACCCACCCTCCACACACGCACAAAACTTGTGGTGGAAGTTAAATGGTTGCTTAAGTATTTTTTCTTTTAACATTGTAAATAGCATACCAAGGGAGATTTCAATACGCTAGACAGCATTAAACACTCAGTAAATTTGTATTGAATGAACTGATAAGACATCATTTGATTAGGAAAGCAGTGTTCTTTGCCTTGGTCTCCTCCAAATGAAAAGAATTTTTTCCGATCTTGGATGGGAGAGGAAAGGATGGGTGAAAAAAGGGAAGTAAAAATGGTTAAGATGTGATGTGTATCAGTTCCCCAGGATGATTGAATTTATTATGTATTGCAACCAGGCCAATTTTCATTTAATTTTTTTTCTCTGAAACTAATCTGGAAGTATAAAGAGAGTTATTTTGACATGTCTGTTACTTGTCTCTCCCTTTAGGAGAAAATAAAAGATGTCTGAATATATTCGGGTAACAGAAGATGAGAATGATGAACCCATTGAAATACCATCAGAAGATGATGGGACGGTGCTGTTGTCCACAGTTACAGCCCAGTTTCCAGGGGCATGTGGGCTGCGCTACAGAAACCCAGTGTCTCAGTGTATGAGAGGTGTCCGCCTGGTTGAAGGAATTCTACATGCCCCAGATGCTGGCTGGGGAAATCTGGTATATGTTGTCAACTATCCTAAAGGTTTGTTGTCATTTGGTTTTGCAGTAAAGCTGTGTATGGTTTGGTTTTTGTCATAGATCATGGCCTCATTTGGAGGCAGAGTATCTCATACTACCCAGATAATTCCTTGAACTTTACCATTAGACTAGTTCTGAACACCACCTCATGGAGGCCAGTTGATGGAACTTTGAGTTTTTAAAGAGAAATTTGTGTATTTAATAATCCCAACAAACATTGCCAAATTAATGTCGAATTTAGGGAATTACTAAAGTGTCTTGTACTTGTGTCAGTCTTGTAAATAGATTTTTCAGTGTCCTTGCACTCTTAGTCATTAATTAACTTCCTTTTCCCTTAAAAGGAACATTAGTTTGGTATCCCAAATCTTCAGAAGGCTGGGAATGTCGCTCAGTGGTAGAACATTTGCCTCACATATGTGAGGCCCTATGTTCAATCCCCAGCACCGACAGAAAATTCAGTAGTGTAGTTCCAATTGTAATTTTGACCTTTGGGTCTTGTTTGTGTTGCCTCTTATCACTGACATGCTAAATCTAAAAAAGAAAAAGAAAAAAAGACTATGAGTAGGTTTTTTGTTTTTTGAGACAGTGTCTCCTTATCACCATTTGGACTGGGCTGGACTGTTTTTGTTTTATTTTGCTTGCTTGCTTGTTTTTGAGACAAGAGTCTTACTATATAGTTCAGGCTTACCTTAAACTCACTATGTAACCTAGGCTCTTCTTCAACTAGAAGGGATCCTCCTTCAGTCTCCTTCCTCACAGTATATCAGTGTGCACCACTGTGCCTGGCTCCTGTGTGTTATTTCCTAAACCACTGGTTATAGATCAATATTTGTCCCTATGAGGAGACTCAGGCTGGAGAAGTGATGAAATGATTGCAAAGGTGAAGGACTGCCTAGAGCAACAGTACAGGGACCCTAAAATGATGGTTACAGTTGAAAGCTGGCCTGCAGGGCCATAGCCAAGCAGTATCAGAAACAGGCTATCCTCAGGTATGTTTGTTTCAGCCACTGTTCTCTGCATATCCGATGGCTTGCTTAGATTAGATCAAAATGAGTCCTGTAGCACTCCGCTCTGTCCTTTCCTGTCCCCTGACCTGAATTCCTGCACAGATGTCTGTCTTTCCTCTCACACCTTGAGTTAAGAATAAAAGACAAGAGCTTCTCAGCTCCGTGCTGCTTCCCTGAGGCTTTCTCATGCTGAAGGAGCCTTGGCAGGATAGCCCCTCTGGGCCTGTTGGAGTTTGAACTGGACTTTGAGTAATCTCATCCTCTGCACTGCCATGGTCATACACATCGACAAGTGCTTCCTCATGTGAGGTCTTTTCTGAAGTTCATCCTAGAAGATCGATCTCCCAGAGCCTGGAAAAGGAACAAGGATGTCCGATTCTTCATTATGGTAAGATGACATATACAGCCACAGAATAGCCTGGCAAGTCTCCACCAAGGTTGAAGGCTAGGATTTTTTTCAGCTCAGAGGTAGCAACTGTAATTGCTGAGTGAGAGTAGTGGTTTTTTTGCATAGTCTTTTTTTTTTTTTTTTTTTTTTTTTTTTTTTTCTTTTGATTTTACCTTCTCACTTGTGTAAACTATCATAGGCCAAACTCCAAAGAAGAAGAAAAAAAAAAAAAAAAAATTTCACAGAAGAAAATTACTTTAAGCTGCACTCACAATGCCTTTTGAAAACACCAGGTTATAAGATTTCAGGGTCCCTGCTTCTTGGAGTTGATTATCATTTGCCAACAATGTCCCAGGTTTCCTTTGGAGGGTGGCTTGGATGCAAAGGACTGGGAAAAAGTTGGTAGCAACTCAAAACAATGTTTTAGCCTGGTAAAAATTCTCACCTTGCTATATGGCAGGCTTAGCATTAGATCTGTACAAGGGAGATGCCTCTACCTCTTTTTTCCTCCTTTGGGAGCCTCACTCCTGTACCTCCCATGGAAGCTCTCATTTTTAGTTTGGGATCCTCTGGAGATACGCCTAAAAGAGATCTGATCCAGGGATGAGGAGGTAGAGCCTGATTTTCAGAGGTAATGGGGATCCTTGCCATGAGCATCTCCCCTACCCATTACTTAAGGAGTGTAGAAAAAGTATTGTTGAGGGTGGCTTGCAAAGCCCTTTTACAAAGGGGATTGCAGAATCAGTTGGTCATAACTGTGAAATAACACCTTAGGATTGGAGATTTCCAATGAATTCTGTTTACTGTCCCCCATTCAGCTTTTGTGTATAGGAATAGAAGGACATGACATATACCTTGTCAGCTGCTAATGTAAACACCAGTGTACCCAAATTGGATGTGCTCAAGGGCAAGGGAACATACGCCTACACTCAGGCCTAGTCACAAGTGAATGCTGAAATCTTCCCTCAACTTGTGCAGCCCTTAAGGCATGGGCAAAAGGCCCAGATATAATACCCCTCAAGATTTTTTGCTGCTATTAGACAGGGACTCCCTGGAGCTTGTATAGATTCTGTAAATCATTTACAGAATGCCATTGCACGGAAGGTTGGTAACCCTCAAGCCACAGTCAGCCTAGGATCGTGCCAGTGCACATTATCTAAAGATTTTGGCTTCTCTTAAAGAGATTGTAGAACTGATAGAGGTTCACCAAAATGTAGGGATGGAATTCCATAAAGCCCAAATTCTTGCCATGGCTTTGCAGCCCCAGAAACAACTTCAAGAAGGGTCACTTTTTTTTTTTTTTTTTTTAATGTATTTGGTAGAGGGTCTACAGGATCTCACTACACAGATCAGACTGGTAGTAATCCTCCTGTATCAGCCTCCAAGAACTGGGATTACAGGCATGTGTCACCACGCCTAGTCTCATTTGCCATCTCAGCATGCTCCTGGGGCAGGGCTGGCACAGCACACCAGGGATTGAACCACTGCGTCTGTTTAAGCAGGTGCTTTAATCTGCTGAGTTATCTGCCCTGCCCAAAACCATTGTAGAAATAAAGTCAAAACAAAAATACCCAAAAAAGGGGGCTGCAGAGATGGTTCAGTAGAATAAGCACTTCCTGGCAAGTGCAAGGGCCTGAGTTCAATCCCCAGTTCCGCAAAAAAAAAAGTCCAAAATGTAGAAAAGGAAATCTCTTAACAGTGCCCTGTAAATGTGATGTATATGGAAATCCCATCTTGAGAAATGAGAAAAAGGGAGCATCTTCCTCATACCATGATACAAGCAAGGAGCCAGTCATGCAGTGTTTACACCTGGCCGTAGGAGCTGACCCAAAGCCACAAGGACCCCTTCAAAGACGTCATGGGCCAACCAGATAGCTCAGTGGACTAAAGTACCTGCTCAGAGCACAGTGACCTGGAGTCTGATCCCCAGCATGTTGTGCTGGCCCCGCCCCCTGGGGTGCACTGAGATGGCAACTGAGACAGCATAGTGGCACACCTTAATCCCAGCACTTGGGAGGCTGGAAATGGGAGAATCACTACAAGTTCAATCTACATAGTGAGACCCTGTAGAGCCTGTCCTAAATACATTTTTAAAAAGTCATGTCACAGAACCAAAAGTGCCTACCACTGGTAGTGCCAGACTTGATCTGACCCTAGTGGAGGATGTGGTGTTAAGTGAAGCAAGAGTTTTAGCCATTGACTGGGGCAAGGGGTCTTTGTCATCAGGTATATGGGCCTAATGGCAGGTATGTATAACAAGGGGTTCCAAGTTATTTCTGGTTTGATTCATTGAAACTGTACAAGACAAAAATTATGAAACAGGTTTTTTTATTGTTGTTTTGTTTTTTTTTTTTTTTTGTTTTGTGGAACCAGGGATTGAACTCGGGCTCTTGCACTTGCCAGGCAAGCACTTATTCTACTGAGCCATCTTCCAGGGCCCAATGAAACAAATTTCAGTTATTATGTTCTCCCCAAAGGAACTCACTCATTCAACTTATTCTTTTCTCTTTCTTGTGGTTTTCACAGTAGAAAGGAAAACAAGAGTTTGGTGGAATGGAAGTCTTTGAGATGTTAAATTGTCTTCTGGAGTGTTACTTGCTCTTTTGGTTAGTTAAAAACCCTCCACTGGGGCTGAGGAGATGGCTCAGTAGGATAAGCACTTCTCTGGCAAGCACAAGGGCCTGAGTTCAATCCCCAGTTCTGAAAAAAAAAAAAAAAAAAAAAAACCTTGACTGGCCTGAGATTAGATTCTTTTTTTTGGCAGAATGGGGGATTGAACTCAGTTCTACAGAGCCTTCTCCCTGGCTCCTTAGATTAGATTCTGCAGCTCATATTGCTGTCTTTGCAAGCAGAGACTGGCCAGAATCCTAGCCAACAGCTTCCTCATTCATGACCATTTGGGGACTTGGCAGTTCAAAACACGGCAGAGCGCCTGCCTAGGCAGACACAGGGACTGGGGTTCGATCCCCAGGGCTGCTGAGATGGTGGTTGAGACTGGGTGTGATGGCACGTGCCTGTAAACCCAGCTCTTGGGAGGCTGAAGAAAACAGGAGGATCTATGAATCCATTCTATGTAGGGAGCCCCTGTACTAAATACATGAAGAAAAAAAATGGCAAAGCCTATTGCCTTTAACTTGCATCAGCTTGGAGAGACAAAATACAGTTATAGACTTATTTTTGATGTGCCTATAGCCCTTTGGGAAAAGAATCTACTTTCTCAATGAAACATATACATCAGTACCTCTGACCAAATTTACCTTAGCAGTCAGTGTTGTAGTCCTACCACTCAAGCTCCAGTGGGTTCCAGAACCATCCATTTGGGTGGGGCAGTGGCCTCTTAAAAAAGGAGAAATGGGAGGCTGGGGAGATAGCTGAGTTGAGAGATAGCTGAGTTGAGAGATAGCTGAGTTGAATAAGCGCTTGCCTGGCAAGTGCAAGGGCCTGAGTTCAATCCCCAGTTCTGCCCAATAAAAAGAAAGGAGAAATGTAAGCCTCTGTATTAGTGAAAGAACAGCTACATGCTGGCAATATTGAGCCTGTTCGTAGCCATTGGAACATAGCAGTTTTTTGTATACTAGAAACACAAAGGTTCTTGTGTGGTCTCTTATCAGGGGGCCACATAATCCCAATGTGGAACTAGAATCCCTAACCCTGCTCTTCTCTCTCAAACTTGCCATATTGTTGTTATAGATTTAAAAATGGCTTTCTTTTACTGCTGCAATCCATGAGGAAGACAGAAAAATTTGCCTTTTGTCTCCTTAGTTGGGAGCACCTCTCCAGAAATAACAACGGAACATCCTACCCCAAGGCATTACGTATAGCCCCAGTATGTGTCAGGATTTCATAGATTGTGTTTGGCCTTCCCTGATGTTATCACTGCATGGATGATATTTTGCTTCTACACCCAAGTTCAACTTTTTCATTTCTTTTTGTATTTAGGACTGGGTGTTATGGCATAGATAGGACTTGTAGTGATCCTCCTGTTTATAGCCTCCCTAGAGCTGGGATTACGTGCACACACCACCACGCCCAGTCTCAATTGCTGTCTTAGTGCACCCTTGGGGCAGGGCCGAGATGGCAGGCCCCGGGATCGATCTCCTGCCCCTGCATCTGCCTAAGCAGGCACCTCAATCTGTTGAGCTACAGTTGCAACGTTTTGATTAACTTTTTTTTTTTTTTTTTGTCAGAACTGGGGATAGAACTCTGGTCCTTGGGCTTGCCAGGGAAGCACTTATTCTACTGAGCTGTCTACCCGGCCCCTAAAAGTTCAAAGGTTTTTTTTTGGTTTTTTTTTGTTTGTTTGTTTTGTTTTGTTTTTTTCTTGGCAGAACTGGGGATTGAACTCAGGCCCTTGCATTTTCCATTCAAGCACTTATTCTACTGAGCTATCTCCCCGGCACCTTGATTAACTTTTTGCTGACTTGTTTTCTCATATGCTGCAGACTTGCAGATAGCCCCTGAAAAGGTTAAAAAGGAAGAAAACAAACACTGCCCTTTGGAAATACCTTGGATATCTTATAACTCAAGGAACTATTTGGTCTCGATGACTCTCTTAACATTCTTTCTAAACTTTAAATTATTTGCAATAGCTCCTAGAACATCTTAACTGGCTTTGCCTCTGTGGGAATTTCTGCTTATCTATAGTCTGCTCTGCTCCTCAAGTAGGTATCAATCCCTGTCATTTAAAAAGTATGAAATTTGACAATGGGTATAACTCAACTATGAATTATTTTGCACAGTGGTGCCTCAGTTCATGAACTTAATTTGTTCTATAATTTTGGAGATGGCCACAGGTTTGTCACCTGATTGGGAGTTTGTGAACAGAAGCAAAATAAATAAAATTGTCTTTTAAAAGCATTGTGATTCCAATAACTCCATAGTAGTGGAAAAACATTTCACACTCAGTGAAGACAGAACAAATAATTGGACATTTATCCTTACCCATTGTTGTGAGCACTGTAGCTGTGCCCAACAAAAGCCTTGGGGAGAGGAGAGGATAGGCATTTGTTTTATCACCCACAGGCCTTTTCCAGGTTCCCAAGAATGCAGTTCCTCCATATTGTGTGGCACCAATTGACAAGCAGCTTGGAGAAGATGGTACTTCCACTCTGGGGATAGTCAACAAGAAGAGCAAAGTGAATGTGTTGCCATCTACAACACGGTCATCAATACCCACCTGGGGAGAGATTAAGCAGCTCACTGCTCAAGCCAAACGAATAGTGCAGAGCACTGGCACACCTCTCACACTAGAAAACCTCTTTCTGGCAATGATAGCACAAGTCACCTATAATTCTGCAAAGGTAAATGGGTTCCTTTTTATTCTGCTTCTGTTGAGCTATGCACCAAAAGTCAGTGGCACGGTATATTGGGCACCCAGACTTAGATCTGTTTTTCATGTAGTTAGCCTCTCCTCTTTTCTAATAGTACTGCTTTACTGGCAGAGCCTGGCCACATCCTCCTGTCTCTTTAAGAGATTTTGTTAGGGATTGTGACTAATCTGGGTACTCTTACTGGCTGACATTTACTACCTTATGAATGGTACTTTTGCCTGAAGGATTCTCTCCTGTGTTTGGTCTGATGTCACAGATAGGTCTTATGGTGTTCATTTTTATCCCAAATGGTATATGAATCATATTGTTATTGTGCTGAACCACACCATCAGTTCTCCTAAAGTCCTGTGTCACATGGACACCTTCCAATATTCCTCTCTGTTCTCTGGGTGCCTATAAGATTTGGCCTAGACTCAAAGTAGTCTTCATGTCAGTCCACCAATTTCTGTTATTCATCTTGCTTATGATTAACTCTAGAAAATTGAGGACTTTATCGTTTGATGGTATGTCTTTTTTTTTTTTTTTTTTTTTTTTGTGGAACCGGGGATTGAACTCAGGTCCTTGTGCTTGCCAGGGTAGTGCTTATTCCACTGAGCCATCTCCCCAGTCCCAATGGTGTGAATCTTAATTCAGCCTAGAATTATGCTTTGCCTTTTAATTACAGTAGCAGCCTTGGCTTGTTGGATTCTCTATTATACTTCTCCTCAGGTACCTTTCCCGTCAAATCCTTGCAGTGCCTAGGCATTCTCTCCTTCCCTCACATTGTCAGAATTAGCATGGACTGCTCATGATACGTCTGATCATGTCCTGCTCTGCATTTCATGTCGATACATTTTAGCTTTTGCCAATCAGGACCCCAAAATAATTGAATATAACTATTGTAACCACTAATACAGAGCCTTAAAAGGATTTAACCCCCCCCCCATGCTACCCTGGTTGATTCCTTGTTAAAAAATAATTATCTGTCAACTGAATATTACATTATGATCCTTAGGAAGGCAAAGCATGGCTCCTGAGTGTTTTGGTAGTGCAGGGGTGTACCAGGAATCAAACTCAGGACCTCATACTTGCCAGCCTGGTACCATGTCACTGAGCTAAGCCCCCAGCCCCATTTTATGGTGGCTACTACATTAGCTACAGCAGTGGTAACTGTAGCAGTCACTTTGACTGTATCCATACTGCTCAAATAGATATTTCCAGGATGTTACCTCAGAATTACTGTCTCAGACTACCATTGATAAAAAATATTCTGCAAGGACTTGACACCTTTTGAGGCGGCTGTCAGCTGGCTCAGTGAACACCAACTAGCCCCGTGGACACATAGTTAGCTTAGTTGTGGTGCCACGTGCCACTCAATGTGCATTACTTCTATTCTGACAGTTACTCTAGAGTTTTGTGAGGAGGTCTAATGCCTTTTCCCCATGGTACTATTCATAGAAATCTAGATGGAGAAATTACTGTAGGAATTGGCTGTTTGGTCTCAGCCTTTGCATTTGTATTTTTTTTTTTTTTGGTGTTTTGGGGTCTCACTGTAGTTCAGGTGGCCTCTACTCACTGTGTAGTCCAAGCTGGCCTCAAACTCATTGTGATCCTCCTTTCTTGGCCTCCTGGGTGTTAAAGGATTACAGTTGTATGCTGCCATGCCAGTGCATTTAGATTCTTGTAGCTGTTGGAGTGATTTCCTTTCTCCTGCTCTTTCTTGCAGCCCTTAGAGCACTTTGTGAGCTGTTCCAATGGACCCTCTGTGCAGAAGCCATGATGACCTTCATATGTCAAGCACAGTACCCCTCAACCCTGTATTCGCCACCTTCTGCTCAAAACCTGGACTATAAAACAAAAGATGATTCAGGCTGGAGAAATGATGAAATGATTGCAAAGATGAAGGACTACCTAAAGCAACAGTACAGGGACCCTAAAATGATGGTTACAGTTGAAAGCTGGCCTGCAGGGCCATAGCCAAGCAGTATCAGAAACAGGCTATCCTCAGATATGTTTGCTCCAGCCACTGTTCTCTGCATATTCGATGGCTTGCTTAGATTAGATCAAAATGAGTCCTGTAGCACTCCGCTCTGTCCTTTCCTGTCCCCTGACATGAATTCCTGCACAGATGTCTGTCTTTCCTCTCACACCTTGAGTTAAGAATAAAAGACAAGAGCTTCTCAGCTCCGTGCTGCTTCCCTGAGGCTTTCTCATGCTGAAGGAGCCTTGGCAGGATAGCCCCTCTGGGCCTGTTGGAGTTTGAACTGGACTTTGAGTAATCTCATCCTCTGCACTGCCACGGTCATACAGCAACATGCCCCAATTTTCAGAATTTTTTTCTATCCTGTGGTGATACGGAACCTAGACTATTAGACACATCAAGCAAGTAGAAATTTGGAAAAGATGGAAAAACTTAAATCCATGTGTTACAAATAAAAATTTTTGTAGCTTTTAAATTACATAAGAGGCATTCTCATAATTAAGCAACTAGGTTTAAGAGCCACCATGCTAAAATGAAGTCATTTTGTGGGATTGGAAGGTCAAACCCAGGGGCATGCTTACCACTGAGCTATATCTCCAGCCCTTTTTCTTAAGGGGATCTCCTTTAGCCAGTTGGGTGTCAAATTTGGCATTCCTTTGACCTTAGCCTGAGTAACAGATTACAAGTTTGTGTCATCATGCCTAGCTGAAGTAGAACTTCTAATCTTTTTGAGAAAGGACACACAATTGACTGTAATATCAGAGGCTACACAACCAGACCTCAGAATCCAAAAGTTTGTATCAGAAAATATGTAAGGCACTTAATTCAAACCTTTGTTCTAGTGAGCTACCATCATGCCTTGTAAAGTTCAGTGTCTTAACTGTTCTTAAGAGCCTGCATCTCATTTTTAAATGTAAGAAATAATTTCTCAAAAAGTTTTTTATGAAGATTTCTAAAAGACTTATTTTGTTTAGATAACAAAAGGAAAATGGATGAGACAGATGCTTCATCAGCCGTTAAAGTGAAAAGAGCAGTCCAGAAAACATCAGATTTAATAGTATTGGGTCTTCCATGGAAAACAACTGAACAGGATCTAAAAGAGTATTTTAGTACCTTTGGAGAAGTTCTTATGGTGCAGGTCAAGAAAGATCTTAAAACTGGTCATTCAAAAGGGTTTGGCTTTGTTCGTTTTACGGAATATGAAACCCAGGTGAAAGTCATGTCGCAGCG